CAAATGGGATTTGGGAAAGCCCCTCCTGGCCAGCCACAGACTCAGTACAACTGGAACAGCCCATGTGCCTGTCAGAGTCCCTTCACCTACTCACAAAGGGGGCGCCGGGCCTGCTAGCCTACAGGAGGGGGTGTCTCCATCAGGTCACACCTGTGCTCTGGGGAGCCTAGTTTGTAGTCAGACTCAAACTGAGAGTCCCTTCCTGGTTCTGACACCGTAACATGCAATTTTCTCTCTACCTTGACAATAAACCTGAAGTCCTAGTCATTGCAGCAAGAAGTCAGATGAGTACTGGAAGGTTGGGGCAAGGACAGGGAAATCACTCAAGGAAGCCTCAGCCTCCCTGCAGGGACCCAGCACTGCCAGGGCTCCAATTACTGCCCCAGACCTCTTTGCTGTTATTTTGATTCAAAGCAGGATCTGCCTTGTCGGCAAGCCCACAGTCTCCCTCCAGTGGCCCCAGTCCCTGCTCCCGGAGCTCCTAGTCTGATGGAGAAGATGAGGTTCAAATTCTCACATTAGGCCAAGGCAGGAGGGAGGTGGGAAGGGATTGGCACTTGTTCTCAGCTGACCCCAAGGTCTGGACCTGTGCGCTTCCTCAGTGCTCACCAGAGAGCCTTCCTGCCTTGTGAGCCTTCCTGCCCTTTGAACTTTACCAGCAGCTCGGTGAGGCCAAGCCCTTACTCAAGGTCACACAGTCAGAAATGGCACTGGACTCCCAGGCCAGCTCTTTGAGGCCCCAAACTGAGCTTTCTAAAGAGTCATTAAAAGCAAAGGACTCAGAGCTGCCTCTCGGGAGGAGAGTCCTCAGCTCTCCTGCACTTGCACACGTGTACACGTGTGCCGGAACTCTTGACCTACCTGACCTCTGGCATAGTGAAGCCCTTGCAGTTTGAGCCAAGTTCTTTCTCCCTGCACACCTCAGTGTTCTCATCATGAGAATAGAATGAAGGGCCCCAGCCCCAGGAACCTCTGAGAGCAGAATCAAGCTCACACCAGGCCCCGAGCCCTGCTCTGTACTCACTGTCTCAATGGGGGTGGGTGGGGGGGAGGCATTGGAGCTGAGCAGATAAGAGATTCAATCAGGCCTGTGGCCAGGAGGAGCTCCACCATGGCTGGTGGAGCGGTTC